TCTCGCAGGCACTGAGCTGCTCAAAGCCGTACCCTTCCCGAACAGGATCTCCCACAGCGCGAGCTGCATGGCTCCCCACACGGACTGCATCCAGCCGCGTAGCCCAAGGGGACTTCGTCCAAGGCTCCAGAACCCCCCGCGGCACACCACAGCCAGGACACATGTCCCTGAAAACACACAGGGACCTGTCCCCGAAACGAGCCCTCTGTCAGAGGTGTCAGGCCGCTCTCGCTTGCATGGCAGCTTCACACCGGCCACATGGCCGCCTCCCTCCTGCGATGGTGGTTTCCTTGCCCACCTGCCTGCGCGCCATCCATGACGGTCCAGGAACAGCAAGCTGTCGCCATGGAGAAGGCAGGCCTGGGCCAGCCTCGAGGCCCAGCAGTTAGGGCAGCAGTCCCACATGGCTGCTGATTCGAATCCCAGCTCAGGCGGCTTGAAAACCACCCTGGGCATGTGTGCGCGTGCATGTCCTGAATCCCAACAGGAAAGAGAACTGGTGGAGGGACTGAGGCATGGCCATGCCCCATAGCGGGAAGCTCTCCCTCTCCCTCTCTTTGTGTCTCTCTCTGGTGAGCGCGTGTGCGCCACAACAAAGCCAGACTAAAACAGAGCAGCACGCCCCGCTGTGCCCCGTGAGCGCGGCTGCTGCTCTTCCCGGCCTGCAACCCAGATTGCACGTTGCACTGGGCGGCGCTCCAAGCAGCAGTCGCCCTGTAGGCACCAAACGAAGGGTTTCCAGGGAGGCTTGAGCCTAACGTGGAGCCTAACGTGAAGCCTCCCGCTCTGGGGAGGGCAGGAACTGCGGGAGCACGTGTGGCATGGGCACCAGGTCTGCACGCCCCGGCGTCCAGGCACCGGGCCTCCTCCTCGCGCCTCTCCGCACTCCGGGTCTCCCGGCCTCTCCACACTGCCCTCTCCACACTCCGGATCTCTGGGCCTCCCGCCCACACTGGCCTCTCCACACTCCGGGTCTCCGGGCCTCCCGCCCACACTGGACTCTGCACACTCCGGGTCTCCCTGCCTCCCGTCCACACTGGTCTCTACACACTCCGGGTCTCTGGGCCTCTCGCCCACACTGGCCTCTGCACACTCCGGGTCTCCCTGCCTCCCGTCCACACTGGTCTCTACACACTCCGGGTCTCTGGGCCTCTCGCCCACACTGGCCTCTGCACACTCCGGGTCTCCCTGCCTCCCGTCCACACTGGTCTCTACACACTCCGGGTCTCTGGGCCTCTCGCCCACACTGGCCTCTGCACACTCCGGGTCTCCCTGCCTCCCGTCCACACTGGTCTCTACACACTCCGGGTCTCTGGGCCTCTCGCCCACACTGGCCTCTGCACACTCCGGGTCTCCCTGCCTCCCGTCCACACTGGTCTCTACACACTCCGGGTCTCTGGGCCTCTCGCCCACACTGGCCTCTGCACACTCCGGGTCTCCCTGCCTCCCGTCCACACTGGTCTCTACACACTCCGGGTCTCTGGGCCTCTCGCCCACACTGGCCTCTGCACACTCCGGGTCTCCCTGCCTCCCGTCCACACTGGTCTCTACACACTCCGGGTCTCTGGGCCTCTCGCCCACACTGGCCTCTGCACACTCCGGGTCTCCCTGCCTCCCGTCCACACTGGTCTCTACACACTCCGGGTCTCTGGGCCTCTCGCCCACACTGGCCTCTGCACACTCCGGGTCTCCCGGCCTCTCCCCCACACTGGCCTTTGCTGTGCTGCCCCACCTGGAGCGCGTCTCTCGCCTTCTCTGCACGCAGTGTGCATCACTCCCTGTGGGAACCTTTCCCCTGGAACTTCCCTTCTAGGCAAAAGCAGCTGCTTGCCTCCCCTGGGAGGCCTTGGGGTCCCCTGATTCCACTGTGGGCTGTAAGGACAGACTCATGCCATCTGCAAACACCAACTGCAGGTGTGGCATGTAGCAGGCACTCGGGTGTCACTACACGTCACTACGCTGAAATGCAGCCCAGGGGTCCTGGCCCGCTCAACTCCCTCAGGACTTCAGAGAAACATGGCTGCCTCTGCCCTGCCTGGTGGCTCCACGGGGCCATCGACACGCCACAGTGTGGTCTGCGTCCATCGGGCATCGACACGCCACAGTGTGGTCTGCGTCCACTGGCCCGGCCATGTGCAGGTATGTGGCTCAGTGCAGGTCTGCGTCCACAGAATCACCACACACAGCCCACGGTGCCACGCTGCCGTCCCCACCTCTCCTCCCAGGTCTGGCCCAAGGAGCTACGACCAAAGTGCTGAAGGAAGGAGCCGGGAGCAGCCAACCGCCTCCGCCTCAGCCGGTTCGGAGTGTGGGCCAGGCCCAGCTGCCACAGGGAGAGGCCGATGATAGCCACACGAGCTGAGCTGTGCACAGGGACACGCCACCAGGCCGAGAACGTGGACCTCCAGGGCGGAGCCTGCGGGATGGCCAGGCCCCCCAGAGCAGCAGAGTGTGCCGACACTGCTGGCTCCAGACCCTCCAGCAGTACCCGGGGCCCCCGAGAGGGACACGTAGAGTACATGGCACGTGTGGAGGTCACGGCATTAGGGGGAGGCTAGCCCTGACAGATGGGAGCTGTCACTCGCTGTGCAAAGAAGACTCATTACATAACGCATTGCCCTCGGTCCACTTCCTCAACTGTCTGCAGCAGAGCCGGGAGCCATGAGGAAGTTCAAAAAATAACCTAAGCAAAAACTGAGTGTCGCAAAGGTCACGCACTGGAACTCTGGAGAGGCGGGCAGGAAAGTCCCTCGCCTGGCTGGCACCCCTCGCGGTGAGCCCATTCCAGGCTTTGAGCACCTGTGCTCAGGGAGATGCAGCCTGGAAAGGGCGAGGAGGGCAGGTTCTCAGACACCCACATGGGCGACAGCAGGAGAGGGAGCAGGCACCGAGAGACAGGAAATCTGGAAACGCATGTGGCAGGCACGGGGCATCCTGGGAGTTGGCGAGTCCCCAAGCTCAAGTGCCCCCAGGCCATTGAGGACAAGGACTGCAGGCCCAGGCTCCTGCGGTTACTCATGAGATATCAGCGTGTCCCGGTTAAAGGACAGCAGGGAGAGAGGCGGCGTGAGGTCTGGGAGTGGGCCACGTCGTCCACAGAGGAGGCCCACGGACAAGTGCCTCTTGCAGCTGGGGACGGGCATCTGTCCAGGCGCCAGCAGCCTCTGTTCTGCACTGCACACGGAGGTCCTTGGCTCAGCTCAGGGACACCCCAGACTCCCACCGTGTCATGGCAGGCAATCTCGCTGAGGTCAGTGCCCACAGGTATCTGTACTCCCCCATGGCCACATGGAAGGACACGGCCCGAACCCTCCAGGCCACTGACTTTCCTTCAGCAGGGTCTGGGACCTTGGTTTTCCAGTGAACCCTCAGGTTAGAAGTTAGGGTGGGCGCAAGCAAATGCTGCTCATGGTACCAGACCGTAGTCACACACCAGACCTATGACCCGCCTGGCACGGTGGCACTGCGTGGCACGGGGGCACAGGCAGCGGGTGGCTGGGCCGTGCTGGACGCCATGCAAGGCAGCTCCAGGTGCGTGTCCTGGCTCCACCTCCACACTCCGGGCACACCCACGATGCTGCTGGCTACAGGCCCGGGAGACGATGGCAGTGCGAGGACCCTTTGGGGACTTCCGTCTGACTCTGTCACATGAGAGAAATAAGTAAGCTTTGAGAAAAGCAGGTGATAATAAAGGAAATGACACTGGTTTTCAGTGGTCTCCCCGTCCCTGCTGCAGCCAGTAGTGTCTGTTTGGATCCCCTCTGGGGACGGAGGCACCATGCACACCTGGGCCGAAGGCACCGTGGACCCGGACCTTGCCAGGAGCATTTGCAGGACCCAACCTGGGAGCCACAGGGCAATCAGACGTCAGCAACGACTCAGAGACGGCGGGAGATACCCACAGGCGGGGATGGAAACCGTGGAAGTCAGAGATGAAGTCCCGGCAGGTCAGACCCCGCCCAGGCTCTTCTGCACGCACCTCTTTTCTTCCAACCTGGGAGCCCATGAGCCTGGAAAGGGTCTGAGCAGCGGGGCTGGCCGCTCCACACCGCCGCCTAGTGCTGGCCGCTCCACACTGCCGCCTAGTGCTGGCCAGGCCGCTCCCAGGCCCCACTGCAAGGTGGGGGTCCTCTCCCAGTTCCTTCCGTGGCCAGCCCTCCTAAGAGCTAAACATAGCCCTAACCCACAGATTAGGAAACCACCGGCTATTTTTAGCATCATACATCTTAGGAGTGGAAATGGCCCAACCCCCAATGGCAACACAGTGCCTGCGGCCTGTCTGAATAAACCATCTCTCCCGAGGGTGTGAGCCCGTCAAGTGGTGGCCAAGGACCCTGGGCTGCAGGGAAGCTCAGAGGCTAGTCACAACTGATACGCAGCAGGAGTCAGGAGCGACCACACGGGGACAGACAGAGAAGCACAGCGGCACAGAGTGAGGGAGAGGCCAGGACAGGCTCGAGGGGACAGGCGGCGGGGAGAGCCATAGCACCAGGAACGCCAGAGACGGAAGGCAGAAGCCAGGCCCTGCTTGGCCCTGTTCCCCTGGAGAAGCCTGGTGGATAGAAAGAGTATTTTGAACAGGACACATATTTTACATGAGAAGGGACAAGGGTTGGCCTGACCTCTGTCCTTCTGGGGCCAGCTGGGGCTGTGAGCACCTCCCAGCCCTCCCGGCTCAGTGGAGCCAGGTGGAGCCCAGAGGAGCCCCAGAGGAGTCCCAGGCCGACTTTCAGACCTTCTTCTGCGTGTCCCGCAGGTGTGAATGTATGTGTGCCCCAAGGCCTTGACCCTCCAGGACTTCCTGTGCTCTTACCATGAACACGCACAGAGCTCGAATTCCCAGTGGAAGCTTTGAAACACGCAAAACGTAAGAAAGCCACCATGACGTTAATTAGAACCTCCCCCTCGACATGGCCCTGGGTTCCCTTAGCCTGGCGAGGACCGGCCTTCCCAGCCTCCCTGGGCTGCCGGACTCCCAGAGCAGTGAAACGCACCTTAGTTTTCAAGGAAGAGGACCCGTCAACAGAGGGCTTAAAGTCCCCTCCGGACGCCTGTGTGGAGTTTCGGTGCTGTCTAAAATTCTATTTACAAAGAGCTCTCGAAATGACTTCATAATGGGAGACCAAGACGAAAAGAGTTTAGAAGTGAATGATGTAAAGCACATGGGTTCAGAGGCCAAGCAAACTGCACACCCTCGCCCTGAAGCCGCCGGCTTCATGAAAGGAGCCTTTCTGCGGCCCCGGGGCAACCCCGGCCCAGGGAGCCAGCATCCCAGAGTTTTCTAAACATTTCAGGTACACTTGAAAGCTGAAAGTAATTCTCATTTCCTATGCGGGATTAAGTCCTTTCCAGCACACAGAACAGCAGTCATTCGCCGCCAGGGAGGTAGGGCGCAGGCAGCACAAAGGCACGCTTCCAACAGAGAGCCGTGTACTTCCCCGGCCCTGCGTCCTCGGCCTCGGACCGCGCTTCACCCACTCGCCGACTAGTCGCTGCCTTTTCACCCACAGTGCCCTCAACCGAGCGGCCGGCGATTTCCTAAGCCCCCGCCCCACCCCCACAGGACTCGCGGCGGCCGAGCCGGGCTCATTCATCTGGCTGGCCCCGGGCACTTCCGAGTCCCCAGG